CTTTTAATAAAAACATTTGAACATTGCAAACAGCTGTGAGAGGATGTCCAGGACAGATGAGAGCTGGGTTGATGTTGAAATCACAGCCTTGCACTGCGCATAATTATTTAATTATCTTTTTTACAAACTTACAGGTGTGTTTGAGTGTGGGCAATAAATGTTAGGGCTGGGCAGTAAAAGATAATTTTCCTCAATAACAATATAACAAATGTTCTTCAACATATTGTCAATAAATATTTGGTTTAATTCATTTGAATCACAAACAAATTAGCACTTAATTTTTCTATTGAAATATTTATTTTGTTGAGGAAAAAGGACTGAAAAAAGATTCACTAATCATATTATATCATAATAGTTTTGAATGTTCTCCCTCAGATTTGTTACTTGATCCACTGTTTGGCTTCAAGTGTTTCTGATTATAAAGAAAAGTTTAACCAGATAATTAACCATCTAGTTTCTTCAATCTTCACTCAGGAGCAAAAATCTAAAAAAATGAAAGAAAGAAAAGAAATAACGATTTGACATTTATCGTGATAATTATCGATATTGAATGATATAAAATGTTTTTATTGTGATAACATTTTTGGCCGCATCGCCCCGCCCTAATTGAAATGGATTTTTGTCCCTAACTCCTCCTGCAGTAACAGCAGCGTTTGGACAGACATTCATGATCCAAACTGTGAAACGTCTGCCTGAATCAGCTCTCAAACATCCTATAACTGGGAGAAATCCGGAGCTGCTGAAGGTAACGGCCACTAAAACCGACCGATGTTAAATATTAAACAAACTCCACCTGGTTTCCAGACGGGACGGCAGAGCTGTTGCTGCACTTGTCGCCATCTTCCACGCGTTGGATCCGCGGTACCTTTGCTACTTAGAGAAACGAGTACCGTCACAGTTTTTGTACCCTCACCAGGTACAAACCCATAAAAGCAACGCCCGCTAACCAAACCTCAGCACTGTAAATGAACTCCACACTGGCGCCGCGATGCGTGTGAGCCTCCGTCACTGTGTCTGAAACCAGTCTGCAGCAGTTTAAAGTCAAAGCGACGGAGGGTTTCACGTCTTCAGAGCTCCTCTCCGTCTTTATCCCCTCGTCTGTTTCCCGTCTCCACCTTCAGCCAAGAACACAGCGGCTAATAAACACGTACAGAATCCATCTGGGCCACATTCATTTCCTCCAGTCTCAGCCCATTACACGTGCTAGTTAGATTTTATACTCAATCCTCTCCCCAGTGCATGAACACACACTCACACCGGGCTCAGAGTATTTACAGTGTAATCTCCACACCAGAAGAATTCACACTGTCATCGGTTTGTTTTTGTACTTTGTTTGTCTGCGTTGGATTGAAAAGTTTGTTTTAGTTTTGTTCTTCTGTGGTTGTGTGTGTGTGTGTGTGTGTGTTGTGTAGTTGGATAAGTGTGGAGGTTTGTTAATTTTAATTACACAAAGCTTTGAGGGCTCATCCATGCGGTGGTTTTTGTTTATGATTTTGCGTCACAAACACCACGGGTTTAATCAATTCCTGTTTCTTTTATTTATTTTTCCCCAGCAGCTGCTGCCATTGGTTCTTAGTTGAACATTTCTTCTGCTCATGTTTCATCTTGTTTTCTACGTGTCTCGTTAAGTAGTTCTCAGAAATCCTCCTCTCCTCTCACACAGAACAATCACAGCGTTGCGTCGTGCAATATCGACCCTTCATGATAAATAATACATTGAAGTGATCCAACTCACACAGAGAATACAGCTGTATTCAGTAATTACATTGATCACATTTTCTATAAACCACAGTGAGTAACGTAAATAAAAATTAAAAAAAGGCGTTTTTCGAGGCGGGTGTTGCTGAATGTTTGATAATTGTTTGTGTAATAGTATCTCCCACAGAACACGTTGGTGTTTGTGTTTTAGTTGTTATCAAAACTGAATCGTGGGTTGAATCGGTGTCCTCAGCATTCACAAGAAAAGTAAAAAGGCTCATCAGAAAGCTGCTCCAATAAGCCGGACCGACCTCCAAGAAAACTGTTCTTACCAGTAACATGTCTTTTTAGTTGTATTAGTACAAACAAAACAGTTTAAAGTTATTCACTTTCAGGAGTTATTTAGTGTCACGTCCATAATTGAAGCTGCAGGAATACGTCTTCCTATTGTGTTTGTTCTGCAGCTGAGTGTAGCTGAGTTGCTCGTCGTGGAGCTTAACACAGAGATAAATCAAAGTCCTTTTATAGGCAAGTCCCGCCACTCGCCAGCCATCTTGGTAACGGCTCCGGGCAGTTATTTGGGACTAACAAGATCCGGCCCCTCTCTGAATGAATGGCGAGAGAGCCAGAACTGCACTTTCACTGCTCAGTCAAATCTGATATATATATAACGATGAAAAAGTTTGATGACTTTGTCCCAAAATAAGGTTAAAAAAGCAAAATTTGCCCACCGGTTATACTTGTTCTACGCATACACAAGGTTTCGCCACACCGCCTTCGTTTACGGCTCTATCCAGAGCGCCGCCGACATGACGCCATGAGCACCTCCCACCGGAGCGCTTGAACAAATGCTATGCTAACTGATAGTCAGCAAATACCGTATATGTTAATAACAGGCACACTTATATTTTCTAACACATACTGCAGGTACTGCGGATCACAGCTGGCGCCTTTTCTCGCAGTATTTAGATTTTTTGCAGTATTTTTTTGCAGTATTTGATTATTTTGAACAAATGCTCAACTGTGCTCTGGCGTCAGTGGAGCCACCCGATTGGCTTGATGTGTTTCCCGGCTCGGCTGTTAAAAAAGCAGACGACTTGCTTTCTTGTGGAAATGGCGAGATATATGGGCGTATATTTGTATTCAGGGTCGTTGTGATATGACGACGTGCCGCTATTGTTTTTCTTAAACCTCTAACGGTGTCTGAACTCTCTGGTGCTCCCGGTGGGCAGACGAGTCTGTACGTTCGGTAGAGTCCCCATCGTTCTTACTCTGGACCCACACTGGCAGCTTTGAGATGTGGCTTTAAATGAGGCAGAAAAATGCCTCCTATCTGCTGTTACAGCTCAGAAATGGCTCTCTGGTGTCACACAACACAAACAAACGTGTGATTTGCTATGAGAAAATGTTCAGTTCACGGAGACGCCAACAGTTTCCTCTTTGTCCCACGGCAGTCCTGACGCTGTGGCTGTGTGACAGTGATGGCGATAATGGCAGTAATATTGTCAGTGTTAATGTTAGCAGATGTGATTTTTAGATATCGGAAACAATATAATGAGCTTCAATGGCTCTGAGCTCTGCTGCTGCTTTGTGTCTCTGTGTTTTATGGGAATAATATGCTCATGTTCTCCTTTATGCTCTGTTTGTCTTGTCCCTCCATCTCTGCTCTCTTGCTTTTTTACAGTTGCTTTGTTTCCTGCCTCTCTCTTGTCCCTGCTCAGCTCCTGTATCATTTCACACATCAGCTGGTACCTCCTTATTGTTGCATCACTATTTGTGTTATTATAGATATATTGCTGAATTTGTTTAATATATCATGTTAATTCCAACCATGGGATTTTAAAATCCTATTTTCCAGTCATGGAATTGAGTAAATTCACCGAATGTTTTGGAAAAGTCACGAAATGTGATTTAGTCATATAGGGGCACAGGAGATATCAGATAAATGATATATTACTGTATATTTTATGGATTCATGTGAGTCACAAAATCCAAACATTTGAATTAAACATAAAAATAACTGACATTACATGAATAGAAATGTGATCAATCACGTGATCATTACACGTGTTTTATAGCTCACATTAGATTGGATGTCTGATGTCGTTTGATAAATACCTGGAGTCCTGGACAAAATGAAAATGCAGATGGCTTGATTCAGCTTAAACAGCCTCAAAAATAAAAAGTTCAACTTAAGAGGATTATAAATTGGACTTTATATTCATCCACAAGATTTATTCATTAGAGTTCTTACAAATCATCGTCAACCACGACACACTTTGTCTCTCTTTAAACCAACAACAGAACATTTGTAATACAGAGAGAATACTTGAGCCTCTCCATTGTGAAGTCTGCTGCTTGAACGTTTTGTCGGCAACAGAATGAGTCACGGATGAGTTGGTTGTGATAATTCAGTCTCAAGATGTTGTTGAGTTTCGAGTTGTGCAGCTGACGAGTTTATTCACCAGGTCAGGGCTGAATACGCAAAGGTTGTGGCTGTGCAGAAACACTACACGGTCAAAAGCATGTGGACACCCAGATGACAGCCTTTCCAGCTGGCTGATTCAAGATTTCTGTCGATTAACCGATTTGTTTTTAAAATATCAGGAAATATTAGAGAAAAATGCCCCAAGAACCAAAATGTGCATATTTAAATCTTTTGTTTTGCATGACCAAACCCAAGTTGTTGTTGTTTTTTTTAATCATATACAGCCATTACTGGTTTCACATACAACTCAAATTTTAATGTTTATCACGTGAGTTTGACAGCTGGGCTGCTCGCACGCCTGTTCACACACAATGCGACAATGCGAATAAACACACAACCCGCCATTTCAACAGTTGAACTCAAATTAAACATTTTGCTGGCATTTAGTTGCAATAAACGGATCAAACTGATGCCGAAATATCTAAATAATGATGATGATTTGTTGAAAATATTAAGCTAAACACACTCGAGTTGAAAACTGTCGACCCACACGATGGAGCGGTGCACTACGCGTCGCGTCCTGCACGCCGCCCGGGCAGGAAATCTCATCTTTGCATTTACTTTGTATGTAATCGCGCCGTACCCAATGCTCCCATCGCGTTCTGTGTGAAACCGGCATAAGACAACAAGCAAATTTTGACATTTGAGAAAACGGGTGGAGAAACAGCCTCAGACTGAAAGTATATGTGCACGGGTGTCCACATACTTTTGGCCATTTAGTGCACATGCACACACACACACAGTTCACGTTTCGTTGTTATGCACCGACGTGTGAGTGTCTCAGTAACAATAACAACAAGGCGACATTCAGCTGGACGGTCCAGATACAGAGGTTTATTAACACACAGATAAAGAGAGGAGGACGAGAGACAGGAAGGAGAGAGAGGCAGTGTGAGGACGGGAAGATGCAGTGAATACAGTGAAGACAATAAAAACAAAAACACGTCTGCCCTGATTGTCCTGTCAGTCACAAAGGCAAATCTTTCTGTTGTCTCAGAGTGAAAATAACTTTCATGTATGTTAAACCTTTTAAAAAAAAGTTCCACTGCCTCCGAGCATAAATAATTTCAACTGATGTCGAAAGTTTTTGATTTATTTATTTATTCATTTCCCTTTTGTTTTCCTGGAACTCTGTTCTGACTTATGAAGACAGTAATCATGTTCCAGGAGAGAGGAGGAGGAGGAGGAGGAGGAGGAGGGAGGAGGGAGAATCAAACCATATCCTTTAAAAACAGTTTCTATTTTTACTTTGCTAAAAGCTCTTCCTCTTCTTCTCCTCCAGCTTGTCTACTCTAAAAACATTTCACTTTGTGACAGAGCTACGCTATGCAGATCAGTTTGGCTCTAATCAACTGACACACTGAGGAACAAAAGGAAATGCTAAAAAGCTCTACAAAAAGATTATTTTATTATTTTCTCTGTCTCAACAAGAAGGCATCTGGAGCTAAATGTTCATTAAAGGTACAAGCCGTGCTTAAAGGGGCAGCCCTGTGCACTTTCAGCAGCAGTCCATGCTCTTCGTGGTCGCAGGAAACCCCCCCCCCCCCACGTCCTTTTTCAGATGTGTTTCTGCGATCTTAAACACAAGTTCCTGGCTCAGGCTTTGAGTATCAGTATCCGCAGCTATTTTTGGTCTGTTTTCATTCTGACAGGTTTGTAGTTTGTCCTCCCTGCCGTCTTATTCTTTCCTGTCTTCTCGATGAGCACCGTCCCCCCCCCCCCCCCTCACCCACCCCCACCCTGTCGGTCTGCGCGAGCCCACCCCGTCACAGTGCGCTGGGTCATGGCTGTAGGGCTTAAGAGGGCAGACCTGGGCAAACAATAATACATGTAAATTTGGTATTCAGTCTCTTTAAAATTGCACTTGATCTGTTGTGTTCAGGCAGCTGAAAGCCTCAAAGCCTCGCAAAGAAATATCGATTGTAAAAGCTCTCAGTCGGTGTTGGATTACGGGTTTGCTCAGGTCGAGTGCTGGGTGCGGCGGGAGGTGGTGAGGAGGTAACCGTGGAGCAGAGCGAGGAAGGGAGTGAGAGGTGGGGATAGTGTCAGAGTCTCTACGGCAGCATGATGGGACTGTCTGAGAACACGGACACGATGGAGTCCGCCTCTCCGGCCCTCGCCTGCGACTGTTTGTGGAGCTTTGAGTGCTGCTCGGCCCCTAGCAGTAACCCCGGTCCCAGGTGTCCGTGCATCGCCCCGGCTCCCGGCCCCGCCCTGAGTCTGCCGTTCTGCTGCTCTTTGATAGGCTCCAAAAAGACCACATGCTTGTTGGTACTGACCTTGCGGCCCGGGCCCTCAGTGGTCGCCGGCGGGGTCGGGGTGAGGATGGAGGATTGGGCGCTCCCTGCCCCGGCCTCGTGCCCCTGGCTCACGGTGGCCGCGGCCGGGGTCGAGGCCTTGGGACAGGGAGGGCAGCGGCAGGGCGTCAGGTAGAGGTACATGAGGACCAGCACCAGGCTCACCACACAGCCCAGCAGGGTGGTGAATCCGGTGTTGAAGGACTCGTAAGGCTCGCTGTCGGGGTGCAGCACCACGGTCACGTTGACCTCCCGCGTTTCGTTGCGCCGCTGCTGCTGGTCCAGAGCCATACACCAGTAGATACCAGCGTCCTCCACACGCGCCGCCAAGATCTCCAAGCTACCGTTGGCGTACATCTTTAAAGATCCGTTGTTTCCCGGCGGCGCCACGTACTCCTGATTCGGTGACACCCAGAGAAAGGTCACATGCTGTCCGCTGAGGGTGGTGACGCAGTGCAGCAGCACCGCCGTCCCTGCCTTCACTAAAACACTGCTGTCCTGCTCTTTCAGCAGCCCGCTCAGCGCGCTCATGTTGCATTTCGCAAAGTAGCGGTCGTGCTGGACGAAGCGCACGGTGCCTCTCTGGATCCCGTAGACCAGACAGGTGTGCTCCTGTCTGAAGTCTCTCACTGAGGCGAACCCTCTCTGCTCCCAGTGCCGGAACAGACCGTACATGGAGCACTCGCACACCAGGGAGTTGTTGTGAAGGTAGAGTCCTCTCTGGATTGAAACGGGTAGGTTCCATATGTCCTCCAGGGGTAGTTTGGGCAGGCGGTTTGAGGACAGGTCCAGCATGGACAGGTGAGGGTGGCTGTGCTCCTGAATGGAAAAGAAGGGGAAGTCGGTGAGACGGTTGTGACTGAGGTAGGCCTTTCGGAGGCAGCTCAGTCCGGCCAGAACGCTGCTCTCCACGTGGACGATGCGGTTGTTGTACAGCAGCAGCTCCTCCAGTCCTGGCAAATCTAGAAAATAATGCTGCTCCAGAACATGCAGCTGATTGGACGACAGGTCCAGATGATGGAGCAGAGTCCCAGAGGTGTTTCGAAATGCCCCCGGGTGAATAGTGGTAAGCTGGTTGTGCGCTAACCTCAGTGTCTCCAATCGATAAAGTCCTTCAAAGCCGCCCGCCTCCAACTGCACAATCCGGTTATGGCTGAGGTCCAGAGTGACAGCGGAGACGGGCATCTCTCTGGGGACCTGCTCCAGACCTACGCCAGTGCAGCTGAGGATGTCCGAGGCACAGAGGCATCTGCCGGTCTGGGCGGAGCCCTGGGACAAGCAGATAGAGGCCTGGACCGAGCTCAGCTGGGGGAGCTGGAGACAAACCAACAGCACAACAACAGACCACCACGACAGCGACGCCGCTAGAACAGCTGGTGTCACCACGCCCTGCACAACGCCACAGCTACCGCCGACACACACCATGATGCCCCCAGCACACTGTTGGCATCAGCAGACAGCGATCTGTTTACTGTCTCCTCTCTGTGACCCAGTTTATGTCTCTGTTACTTTCTCCACTTCAGAACGGTGTAAATGCCTTTTTAAAAGTACTTTTCACATCCTTCACGCCGTGGGTTTCATCTCATTCTGACGAAATGTAAAAAAGGATTCCTGAAGCACTAAACAAACCAGACCGTACATACTTGTTTTTCATCTTTATCTTGTTCACAGTCTTTTTACTTTTAAAGTTTCTCTTCTGCTAATGTTCCTGCCACGGGGCGAATGTGTAAATGTTTACATCCCTCACATCTGGGACAGAAAGCTTATTTGCTTTGTTGGCACAAACAGAATGTCAGAGTAATGCATGCTCGCCGGGTTTCCCTGCTCCTGCACAAGTGTTTGTTTTGTCTAAACTGGTTAATGTTGAATGAGGCGACTGCATCTGCATCCACACGCCAACCTGCAGCCAGCTGGAGAGGCGGTTTTCAGGTGTGCCAGTGTAAACAAATCCCTTTCTGCTCTGTATTTTACGGGCAGCAGCAGGCTGAAAGTGAGCAGGTGGAAGAAAATCTAAGAACTATTTTGGCAACAGGTTAAAAGTTAAGATAGAAAGTGAAGCGCAGTCAAAGTTTAGCTGCTTTAAAACTCATCCAGGGATTCAGGAAAGTGGGGGAAAAAAAGAGCAGGTGCAGGTCGAGGTATTAAAATATTCTCCTTTGTGGTCCGTTTTATTCCATCCAGAGAAAACATTATAAACCAGCTGTGTGGAGCGCTCGGCATGACTTCCTCTCACCTCGTGTAATTAGTTTAGCCCATAGCTGCACCTTTGTACCTCCAACACAGACACAAGTCCTCTCCGAATGTTAGATCCTGGTTTGGTCGGTGACTTTTATCACTGGGTCGTCTCGTTTGATCCCTTTTTTGATTCCTCTTTTCAAGCTTCACGCGGGCATAAAAGTCATTTTCCTGTGAAGGAAACGGAGTCTGAGGCTCAAGATTGTTCTTTTCCAAACGTGATGAAGGAGGCTCGTCGTAGTTGTAGCACGTCTTTGTTTTCTCGCCAAGTCGGGTGTTGTGAGTCACAGCCCCAGCTGTCTGCCGTCCACAGCCCGCCCCGAGTCCAGGATCAGATTTTCAAAGAAGTCACCATCCATCTAGTCCACTTCACTCGCAGGCAGCGGCAAACGCCTCACGCTCCACTCACACACTCTCTCGTCTGCGCTGTTGCTCACTGTGTCTTTGTCCTCCGGCTAATTTGTGCAAAGCCAGTCCTCTGTTTTTTCTTCTCGGCAGTGGGAGGATGCAAGGCTTCACGCAGGAGAGAAATCTCGCTTTGCTTTCTGTAAAAATCCCAAGCATGAAACATGCAGCCTCTTTATCATCTCCTCCTCCTCCTCCTCCGGGGCTCAAACAGCTCACAGATACAGAGAGAAAAGTTGTGGCGAGTCCGTCTCCAGATGCGAGTGCTGCGTCCAGATGTGCGTGTTAGCGGAGGCTGAGCCGTGTGCTGCCTCCCGTCTCTTCACCGCTCGCTCTCAGCTCAGCTGTGAGCTCCGTCTTCTGGTGCTTTCGCGGCTCCTCCTCTCTCTCTCTCTCTCTCTCTCTCTCTCTCTCTCTCTCTCTCAGCATCCTCCACTCATCAGACCTTCCTCCTCCTCCTCCTCCTCTTCTCTCTCCTGTTCTCCTCGTTTTACTTCTTCACTCGCTTTCTGTCTGTTTCTGTTTCAGTCTCTCACTGTTGTTTTCATCACCATCGCTCTCTCCTCTGTTGCCAGCTTCTCTCTCTCTCTCTCTCTCTCTCTCTCTCTCTCTCTGATGGCTTATTTTGCCAGCAGAGCAGCATTATGAGTGATTGGTGGTGGTGATTCTGGAGGGAATCTGATTGGCCAGAGGGAAAACAGCACTGTGTCTCTTCTGCAAACATAAGTTGGGCCCATATTTGGTTTTTAAGGTACTTATTATACTATATTTGTTTGTAGACCAGATGATCATTCTTACCTGTGTATTCATGATAAGTAAACTTAAAGCGTGCCAGTTGTAAATCTTGTCTGTTAAGCCAAGTTCTCGGCAACTTACATGTGCAGACTACATAAACGGGCACTACTGTTACTAAACGACAACATAAAATACAGCAGGTTAGTGCTGAATGCTCAGGTTGATATTACAGCCTGATAATTTGACGTCAGCAGCTGTTTGCACTGTTTTGTCACGATTGTAGGAGCTACATTGGTGTGATGCGTGGATCGGCTCTTATAATAGCCTATCTGAAGAATCATGTACGCCCCCAATCATCCACCCGGCCCAACTAATTATTTTCTCAGATTTATCCCACCTCTACCGGTCCTTTTAACTTTGCAGATGATCTTTATTGTGTTGATGTACGAGTGTTACGTTTCATGATTAAAGAGGCTGTGTCAATGTGCACGATAAAGTCACAGCATTTAACAACATTTAAGCAACTAAATGTATAAACTTTACTTTACAACTTTACAACCTGTCGGATGTGGACACTGAGCGTAGAACCGTTTTTCAAGTAGAAATGCGGGTAGCGACGGTGCGCCCGCACGGCATTCATTTAAGTTGTAAATTACAGGGGTCACCCTGGACAGGTCGCCAGTACAAACATAATACCTGATATTTTATTTATTGTTTTTTTCAAAAAGAAAAACAAACACACATAGTTTCTAAAATGTATCGCACATCAAAATACCACAGTAAACTGCACCTAATATAAGACAAGAACAGGAAACGAGGACAAAAGGAATAGACCAGAGACGGTATATATTCTACATAATATTATATGTACCCAATTGTACTCTAAGCAATACCTCATATTATACGTAGACACATGTACAGACGTGGACAAAATTGTTGGTACCCTTCCATTAAAGAAAGAAAAACCCACAATGGTCCCTGAAATAACGTGAAACTGACAAAAATAATACTAAATACATAGACACAGCGTGGTTCAGCTGAATCATTTAAAAAAAAAAATGAAACCTGCCTGGACAGAAATGATGGGACCCCTAGAAAAGTAATAAAAATAAATAATAATTTGACTATAGAGACATGTTAAACTAAGGTGTGTCCTGCAGTTAGTATCTTCAGCCTCAGCCGTCAGCCTCTTAAAAGTGTGAAAGTAGTCACTGTGCTGTTTGGTATCATGGTGCGTATCACACTGAACATGGACCACAGGAAGCTAAAGAGAGAGCCGTCTCAGGAGATTAGAAAGAAAAGGTAAAGGCTAAAAGACTCTCCAAGCAGCCTGATGTTCCTGAGACTGCAGTTGCACATATTATTCAGAAGCTCCCTGGACGTGGCCGCAAGAGGAAAATTGAAGACAAAGATAATGTGAATGGTAACCAAAGAGCCCAGAACAACTTCCACAGACCTTAGAGGGGACTTAATGGACTCGCTGGAGGACACCACTGTTGCAAGCTAACCATACGAAAGCATGTTGACAAGCCGCAAAGCTTCTGGGAGAATGTCCTTTGGACAGATGAGACAAAACTGGAGCGGTTTGGCAAGTCACATCAGCTCGAAGATGCAAAAATGAAGCGTAGAAAGAAAAGAACACCAGACCTGCCGGGAAGCACGGAGGAGGCTCGGTTAGGTTTTGGGTGTTGCTTTGCTCCATCTGGCACAGGGTGTCTTGAATCTGCGTACAATGAAAACTCAAGACTGTCGAGGCGTTCTGGAGCGAGATGTGCTGCCCCGTGTCTCAGTCGCAGGTCGTGGGTCCTCCAACAGGGTAATGACCCAAAACACAGCTGAAAACACCCAAGAATGGCTCAAAGTAAAACATTTTTTTTTTTTTTTTTTAAGTGTAACTGGTGCAACTTTTTGTTACTGTTACAAAAGGGCCCCATATTTTCATGTCGAGATCCATCAGCTTATTACATAATCTTTGATAGTTTTCACCAACCGTTCCTTCAATGACTGATCTCCTTAAGTTCTCCAGTGTTGCAGCACTATCCTACATCTAGTAATCCACGCGTTGGTCCTTGTACCAGCGGCGAGGTCATCGCCGTATTGGTGCAGGTGAAAATCGTGGGGCATTAATACAACATGTGTGTAAGAGAGAGCGCCACAAGTAGCATCACATCTCCGACACAAGAAGAGCTCGCACCGCACCGTTTGTCAAAGCTCTTCACGCTGATTCTCTTGTTTCAAGTCTGTCTGCAGGGCGTTGTACGATGGTGGAAAGAGATTGCACAATAGATCACGGAGATCAGATTACTTTTTGGTCAGATCGCCCACCCCCCCCTTTTTCTAAACGATTCTTCCTCTTCAGATCTTTCAGCCTGTCAGAAATGAAAACTATTAGCTGGTGTCGCGGCCGCACCCTGTACATATCTGTTCATGTATTATTCATAGTGGGTGGTCTGTTGCTAGAATGCATGCAGCAGTTTTACAAATTAAGGAATTAATAGGATATAATTCTGTATTGATTTGTGTCTTTGCTTTACAACAGTCCTGTTGCTGTTTTGAGGGTTTTTATTTTTACAACATGTTCTTAATGAGAAACGCAAACATGCGGATATTATTGAATAAATAATATCTGTACCAACAGGCAACGGAAGGAAAGTGTGTCTGATAAAGTTTTCATAATTCCAGTTTAGCGTTTTAAAAAGTCTTTATTGCTGGATTAATCATACTTTTGTAATGTTCATTTTAAAATTTCTAATCCATCAGGCTGTGACTGGTTTTTAAAATTAGTATTCCATTAATATATTCAGGTTTAAATTAGATTACAGCATCTTAAATTCTTTGTTTTGCCTCTTTTTAGATGTTTTTTCCTCCCCTGTAGTCCGTCGTCATGATGATGATGATGATGAAGTCACACCTGCAGATCCGTGTCCAATTCTTCTTTTGTGTTTCTGCTTGTTCAGATAATCTTTCATCAGGACGTCACCGGTCTGTCTCGGTCAGAACCTGCTGCTGTTAATCTAACACACACACACACACAAAGGTTTCTGTGCCTGTGTGTGGCTAAATATCCTGACATAACTCGTTTGCATAATTATTCTTTCTAACCTTTGTGTGACCTTTTAGTTGTGCAGTTAAAGAAACGGATTCAGGTCGAGACGCAGGGTAATTTATTTAAATCCTCTTTAGTTGAATTGTTTTCAAAAGGAGGTCGGATGAGCTGAAATGTCTGCTCAGTCGTGCTGCTGCTTCTCACACATTCACATTTTTGTCCCTTTCTGCCTCAGAAGGTTAGCAGGGAGGAACCCATCAGTGCCGACACAGGATCAGTGTCTGCTGTAGAAATATCTGCAGCATGCTCTGCTTATTTCTGCTGCTGCCTCTGACTCTCTAAGCAGTACCTGAGGACTTGAAAATTAGAAATAATCCAGCTGCGTGGCTCTTGTAAATCCAAACAGCTGTTTTGGGGGCAGATCCTGAACATGCATGTTTTTTTATGTTGCTGTTTAATATGAGCTTTAGTTTCGTTCCTGTCGGGACTCAAACTGTTCACTTCTCACAGCATCAGCCAACACCAGAGCAGCTGTGTCTGTGAACATAGCCTCTCCAGAAATAATTGGACGCATCTGGGCTGCTGTTCCCTGATTCCTGCCTGTGAGGTGTCGTTAAACGTGTGTGTGACATGTGACAGTGCGGTCGATTCAGGTTGTTTTTGTATATTTGTTTTTTTTATAATTTATTTATTTAAAATGGACAATGCACATAAATCAACATGACAACTTATGTAAATGTACCAGATTCAGCCGTACAGGCTTATTTTCCTCTGCAGGCCCTGGCAGGTTGATGACTTATCAGAAAACGGCAAAAGAAGCACAGAGCACAAAAGCACAAACGGAAAGCCCAGGAGCGCAGTGACAGAAGCACTGCTGCAAATTATGACGGCATATTTGATTATCCAGTAACAATTGCTTTATAGCTTTGGAGAAGGAGGTGAGAGGTGACGTGTTCCAGGTGTGTGCTGCTCGAGAGGAGAAGGCTGACCGTCCTGAGGAACCTTTTCTGTATGATATCTTACCGTCACCTCTGGCAAAAGCTCCGGTAGCTGAGTTTAGAGTTTCTTTAACATATTCAAATTTGATTATGTTTTCCCAGTTGAAAAAAAAACATACTTCTTACAATTGGTAACAATTAACATACTTCTTAAAATTTTACGACGATGACACGAATCTGACTTTTTATCCAATGTTTTTGAAACCTGTTTATAAAGTGCTGCTCCTGACTGTAGTGTGGCGCTACCTGTCCAGCTGGTCGGACAGTAGTAGAAGGACCGTGGCGTTGATGTAAATCTCTGTAGTTAAATTATTCCTAACGTGTGTGATATTTGCCAGTTTAGACTCATTTTAATTTCCCTGCAGCCGACCCCAGGTGTGACAGAGGAGAGATGAACAGGTGGCAAAGATGACGATTAATGTGTGTAATTATCTTTAAATAAACAGTTTAGTCTGCAAAGTGTCATTGTAATAGATAATAATAAAAAGTCAGCCCAAACTCTAAAGATGCTGTTAAATTAGTTTTTATTTTCTGTGTTTAGTTTGACAGCTTCA